TATCATACTGTATTGGTGGCTGTCATACTGTACCGTGCATGTGGTTATCATACTGTGTTGGTGGCTATCATACTGTATTGGTGGCTGTCATAATGCAACTGTGCCTTATCATACTGTGTTGGTGGCTATCATACTGTATTGGTGGCTGTCATACTGTACTGCACGTGGTTATCATACTGTGTTGGTGGCTGTCATACTGTATTTGGCTGTCATACTGTACTGTGCACGGTTATCATACTGTGTTGGTGGCTATCATACTGTATTGGTGGTCATACTGTACTGTGCACGGGTTATCATACGTGTTGGTGGCTATCATACTGTATTGGTGGCTGTCATACTGTACTGTGCACGGTTATCATACAGTGTTGGTGGCTGCCATACTGTATTGGTGGCTGTCATACTGTACTGTATGTGGTTATCATACAGTGTTGGTGGCTATCATACATTGGTGGCTGTCATACTGTACCGTGTGATGTGGTTATCATACAGTGTTGGTGGCTGCCATACTGTATTGGTGGTCATACTGTACTGTGCATGTGGTTATCATACTGTGTTGGTGGCTATCATACTGTATTGGTGGCTGTCATACTGTATTGCAGTATGGTTATCATACAGTGTTGGTCTATCATACTGTATTGGTGGCTATATACTGTATTGGTGGCTATCATACTGTATTGGTGGCTGTCATACTGTACTGCACGTGGTTATCATACAGTGTTGGTGGCTATCATACTGTATTGGTGGCTGTCATACTGTACTGTGCACGTGGTTATCATACTGTGTTGGTGGCTGTCATACTGTATTGGTGGCTTCATACCGTACTGTGCACTGGTTGTCATACTGTGTTGGTGGTCATATCGTACTGCACGTGGTTATCATACTGTGTTGGTGGCTATCATACTGTATTGGTGGCTGTACTGTATGCACGCATGTTATCATACTGTGTTGGTGGCTGTCATACTGTATTGGTGGCTGTCATACTGTACTGTGCGCATGGTTATCATACTGTGTTGGCTGCCATACTGTATTGGTGGCTGTCATACTGTACTGTGCACGTGGTTATCATACAGTGTTGGTGCTATCATACTGTATTGGTGGCTGTCATACTGTACTGTGCACGTGGTTATCATACAGTGTTGGTGGCTATCATACTGTATTGGTGGCTGTCACACTGTACTGTGCATGTGGTTATCATACAGTGTTGGTGGCTGTCATACTGTATTGTGGCTGTCATACTGTACGCGCGTGCTTATCATTGTGTTGGTGGCTATCATACTGTGTTGGTGGCTATCATACTGTAGTTGTCATACTGTACTGTGCACGTGGTTATCATACAGTGTTGGTGGCTATCATACTGTACTGTGCATGTGGCTATCACTGGGGGCTGTCATACTGTATTGGTGGCTGTCATACTGTACTGTGCACGTGGTTATCATACTGTGTTGGTGGCTATCATACTGTATTGGTGGCTGTCATACTGTACTGTACTGGTTATCATACAGTGTTGGTGCTATCATACGTACGCGTGGCTATCATACTGTATTGGTGGCTGTCATACTGTATTGGTGGCTGTCATACTGTATTGGTGGCTGTCATACTGTACTGCACGTGGTTATCATACTGTGTTGGTGGCTGTCATACTGTATTGGTGGTCATTAACTGTGCACTGCACGTACATACATGTGTTGGTGGCTGTCATAAGTGGGTATCGTATCATCGCGTGGTTATCATACTGTGTTGGTGGCTATCATACTGTATTGGTGGCTGTCATACTGTACTGTGCACGTTACATCATGTTGGTGGCTGTCATACTGTAGTGGTGGTCATACTGCTGTGGTGGCTATCATACTGTATTGGTGGCTGTCATACTGTATTGGTATTGCCATACTGTATCACGTGGTTATCATACCTGCTGTACGTCATACTGTATTGGTGGCTGTCATACTGTACTGTGCACGGTTAATATACTGTGTTGGTGGCTGTCATACTGTATTGGTGGCTGTCATACTATACTGTGCACCGGTTATCATACTGTGTTGGTGGCTGTCATACTGTATTGGTGGCTGTCATACTGTACTGTGCACGTGGTTATCATACTGTGTTGGTGGCTATCATACTGTGTTGGTGGCTATCATACTGTATTGTGGCTGTCATACTGTACTGTGCAATGGTTATCACAGTGTTGGTGGCTGTCATACTGTATTGCACGGAGGTTGCGTCATACATTGGTGGCTGCAGACTGTGCACGGTTACATACGTGTTAGCATTGGTGGCTGTCATACTGTACTGTGCACGTGGTTATCATACAGTATTGGTGGCTGTATCACTGTGCATGTGGCTATCATACTGTATTGGTGGCTGTCATACTGTATTGGTCTGGTCATACTGTACTGTGCACGCCGTTATCATACTGTGTTGGTGGCTGTCATACTGTATTGGTGGCTGTCATACTGTACTGTGCACGTGGTTATCATACTGTGTTGGTGGCTGTCATACTGTATTGGTGGCTGTCATACTGTACTGCACGGGTTATCATACTGTGTTGGTGGCTGTCATACTGTATTGGTGGCTGTCATACTGTACTGTGCACGTGGTTATCATACTGTGTTGGTATCATACTGTATTGGTGGCTGTCATACTGTACTGTGCACGTGGTTATCATACAGTGTTGGTGGCTGTCCGTACTGTGCACGTACATGCGTGGCGTGTTACATCGTACTGTGCACGTGGTTATCATACTGTGTTGGTGGCTATCATACTGTATTGGTGGCTGTCATACTGTACTGTGCACGTGGTTATCATACAGTATTGGTGGCTTACTGTACTGTGTACGTGGTTATCATATGCGTTGGTGCTACATACTGTATTGGTGGCTGTCATACTGGACTGTGCGTGGTTATCATAAGTGTTGGTGGCTGTCATACTGTATTGGTGGCTGTCATACTGTACTGTGCACGTGGTTATCATACTGTGTTGGTGGCTATCATACTGTTGGTGGCTGTCATACTGTACTGTGCACGTGTTATCATACTGTGTTGGTGGCTTACTGTATTGGTGGCTGTCATACTGTACTGTGCATGTGGTTATCATACAGTGTTGGTGGCTGTCATACTGTATTGGTGGCTGTCATACTGTATGTGCACGGTTATCATACTGTGTTGGTGGCTGTCATACTGTATTGGTGGCTGTCACTGTACTGTGCATGTGGTTATCATACAGTGTTGGTGGCTGTCATACTGTATTGGTGGCTGTCATACTCTGTGCATGTGGTTATCATACTGTGTTGGTGGCTGTCATACTGTATTGGTGGCTGTCATACTGTACTGTGCATGTGGTTATCATACAGTGTTGGTTGCGCACTGTCAGTGGTATACTGTACTGTGCGTGGTTATCATACTGTGTTCTATCATACTGTATTGGTGGCTGTCATACTGTACTGTGCACGGTTATCATACTGTATTGGTGGCTGTCATATTGTACTGCATGTGGTTTCATACGTTGGTGGCTGTCATACTGTATTGGTGGCTGTCATACTGTACTGTGCACGGGATCAACAGTGGGTGGCTGTCATACTGTATTGTCTTCATACTGTACTGTGCAGTGGTTATCATACTGTGTTGGTGGCTATCATACTGTATTGGTGGTCTATACTGTACTTGCATGTTTATCATACTGTGTTGGTGGTCATACTGTATTGGTGGCTGTCATACTGTACTGTGCACGTGGTTATCATACTGTGTTGGTGGCTATCATACTGTATTGGTGGCTGTCATACTGTACTGTGCACATGGTTATCATACTGTGTTGGTGGCTGTCATACTGTACTGTGCACGTGGTTATCATACTGTGTTGGTGGCTATCATACTGTATTGGTGGCTGTCATACTGTACTGTGCACGTGGTTATCATACTGTGTTGGTGGCTATCATACTGTATTGGTGGCTGTCATACTGTACTGTGCACGTGTTATACACAGTGTTGGTGGCTATCATACGTATTGGTCGTCATACTGTACTGTGCACGTGGTTATCATACTGTGTTGGTGGCTATCATACTGTATTGGTGGCTGTCATACTGTACTGTGCACGTGGTTATCATACTGTGTTGGTGGCTATCATACTGTATTGGTGGCTGTCATACTGTACTGTGCACGTGGTTATCATACTGTGTTGGTGGCTGTCATACTGTACTGTGCACGTGGTTATCATACTGTGTTGGTGGCTATCATACTGTATTGGTGGCTGTCATACTGTACTGTGCACGTGGTTATCATACTGTGTTGGTGGCTGTCATACAGTGTTGGTGGCTCTCATACTGTATTGGTGGCTGTCATACTGTATTGGTGGCTGTCATACTTGTTTGTAAGTAGAGAAGCACCTGTCCTCTACTAATTCTTCATATTAAATATATATCCAATATAATATCTATATAACATATGTGTTACAAAAATTACATGAGAGAAGATTAACTTACTTTTTTCTGCTTCAATTTCTGTTTCATTTCATCTGTGGTCATATCAGATAATGACATGGACGATGGCAGGCTCCGTCCACTTATATTACCTACAGATGTTGCAGACACTTCCAAAAGGCTTCCAGACTGGTTTGATGAAGATGAGGAGTCATTAATAACAGGTGAATTGAGAGTTGGTCTCGATGACTGTGTTGTTTGTGGCGATCTTTTCTTTATTACATATTTATGTCCATATTTCTCTTGTGGTGTTGAAGGTTTATCTTTCTCAGGGGATAAATCAATAACTGGAGAATCATCATCAATTTCTTTCTTTGTCTTTCGTATCGGTAGGTAAATGTTGGACTGATTTAAGTCTGGTAAGTCATCTTCATCATCATACAGGTTATTATGCATTAACTGATGTATACTCCCTGTCCTGTGAGGAGAGAAGTCTTCACTCTCACTATCACTGTCAATAACCAGTGCCTGCTTTCTCGTGAACTTCGGTACAGGACTATCGAACTCCTCAGAAATGTCAATTACATCTACAGCAGCCCCTCGTGTCTCCTTTCTCTGTGACTCAGGCCTAATCTGTTTTCCCTTTTCTTTTTGGGGTACTCTCCAACTTTTAAATTGACTGCCAAGACTCAATGTATTAGGGCTTAAATCTGATTCTAAATCTATAATACAGGTAGTTCTATTCTTCCTCTGATTTGGTACAGATATTGAACTTTGAACATCCTCATCAACATCATCATCATCAGATTGCAAGATTGAGGTTGAATTTCTCCAGGAGTTTAGGGGAGTTTGAATGTTATAAGTTGGTGTACTAGACATCATTCCACCTTCTCCTTCACCATTTCCCTTTGCTCGCTGAGAATGCTTTAGTGAAACTATTTCAGCAGCAGGTGTTAATAATGTTTGGCGTGATCTTACTGGAGGAACTTCTGGAGATTCTATAAGGTCCGCAGAATTCTCCGTACATGCTGTCATTTCCTTCACATTTGATTCAAGAATGTCCGATTCATCTGATAAAAATGAATTTTCATCTTGAGATTCACTTATGATATTAGACCTATTTACTACTTCATCATCATCCTCCTCCTCTTCATCATCCGTGTCGGGTACACTCATCACGGCAGGCTCAGAGCTGAAGTGAAAGATATGGCATTTTACTTATAATTAATTTCATAAAAATCTTTCATTTATTATTTACCCCCTTCTATCTTACTGTTCTGCTTTCTGTTCTTATTTACATAGATGTTCACTCCACTGTCAACAAAGCCAGACTGACGCCTGGTGGCTGAGTCAAGCGGCTGATGGCGCACAAAAAACTAGTTCCCTGTACTGCATAAATTATCACCATGTTAAGTAAATTTTAAAACGACTAATAATTTTAATATAAAAAATAAAAAAATATTAAAGAGCACAACTTTCGTGATATTTACTCCACTGAAAACGAATGTAAACATAGAACAGATTACTGAGTTGGCAGACTAGCCCATAAAGCATGTTGTTCGTAAGGATTTCGTTAATCAAAGTTTTGTTCATTAACCGAATTAAAGATCCTTAAGGGAGGTACTTCGTTTATCGAACCGTTCATTAACCGAGGGACCACTGTGTGTTTATATATGTATGTATGTATGCAGGTATGTATGTATGTATGTATGTATGTATGTATGTATGTATGTATGTATGTATATATGTATGTATATATATATGTGTATGTATATATATATGTGTATATATATATATACAGTAGTACCCCACTTAACGCGGTCAATAAAACCCACAGGGTACCATGTTAAGTGAAAACCACGCTAAGTGAACAACAGAACATATGGGATTAATTCCAATAGAAACTGGCCTGATCCCCAAACTCCACTTTTTCCGACACAATACCTATGTTCTAGTAAAAATAACATCTTAATTTTATGATAGTACATGCACACAATTAATACTTAAGAGAAATAGAGAAATACAGTCGCCAAGTTAATGTCCATTCAAATAATGGACTCAACTCCCTCCCCCTCTTCTCACACTACACTGCTGGCTCTTCCCTCCCTGAGAAATTTTTGGGGGAAAACCACTAAATTTTAATAAATAATACCTCAAACTAAAGTTAGGATAATACAATTGACATTGCTGGATTCCTTGTAAGACCAGGAATATTTTGAATATAAATGTCATATATTTTTCACAAAAGATAACATATTTACTGAGAGTAAACATTATATCTAAAATTTGTATGTCTAATGCAAAATCTATGATGTTTATATTCAAAATGAATACCAAATTGTAAGAATTCCAGCAATGTAAATTATATTCTGGCCGGGTAATTTGTATGAATTTTATGAGCTAAAACAAATATCTTCAGTTAATAAAAAAAAAAAATATTCAAGACACTACCTGTCAATCAAAGTACCCCACCTTGCCTCCCCCCTCTTCCAACCACGTGGTCAGTCCCAACCCTCCCCCCCACCCCCCACCAATCCTCCCTTCAAGAGATGTTGGGTGAAAAAACTAAATTTTAACATTTTGTATTAAATAATACCTCAGATTAAAGTTAGGATAATATAATTGACATTGCTGGATTCCTTGTAAGACCAGGAATATTTTGAATACAAATGTCATATTTTGCACAAAAAATAACATATTTACTCAGAGTAAACATTATCTCTAAAATTTGTATGTCTAATGCAAAATCTATGATGTTTATATTCAAAATGATCACCAAATTGTAAGAATTCCAGCAATGTAAATTATATTCTGACCGGGTAATTTGTATGAATTTTATGAGCTAAAACAAATATCTTCAGGTAATAAAAAAAAAATATATACTTCACACAGTAACAGATGGTCGGTCCCTCCCTCCCCCCAACCCCCCACCAACCTTGTCCCTACCAGATGTGAGGGAAAACCAGAATATTTACCTTTTTAGTAATAAATAATACCTCAAACTAAAGTTAGGATAATATAATTGACATTGCTGGATTCCTTGTAAGACCAGGAATATTTTGAATACAAATGTCATATATTTTGCACAAAAAATAATATATTTACTCAGAGTAAACATTATATCTAAAATTTGTATGTCTAATGCAAAATCTATGATGTCTATATTCAAAATGATCATTATATTGTAAGAATTCCAGCAATGTAAATTATATTCTGGCCGGGTAATTTGTATGAATTTTATGAGCTAAAACAGGCAGTCAGGCAGGGTGGCGGGTGGGGCGAATCTAAAAATAGCTCTCGAGCCGGACACTCACTGCGTATACGTGGAAAAAACCCGCTTTAAGTGAAAGTTAGGCTCTGGCGAGGCACCGCGTATACGGTATAACGCGCTAAGCGAAACTGGGTTAAGCGGGGTAATACTGTGTGTGTATATATATATGTGTACAGTATGTGTATGTATATATGTGTGTATATATATATATATATATATATATATATATATATATATATATATATATATATATATATATATATATATATATATATATATATATATATATATATATATATATATATATATATATATATATATATATATATATATATATATATATATATATATATATATATATATATATATATATATTCAGAAATTTCAGAGTCAAGTGAGAAATTAAAGTCCAGCAAATTCGAACCGTTACATATATATATATATATATATATATATATATATATATATAGTCACAAGCGAGGTTAACTTCCAACCGAACAACGTCCCATCGTGAGATATACGCCTTCCATGCCCCCCAGTAAAAAAAAAACACTTCCGAGACGCCTGCTGGACCACCACTGCACGACCCCCTAACGGAAACACGATCCTTCCCATACTGGCCAGATATTGTCTGTTAAAGGAATATCCTTCCTTAGTCTTTAGTAAGCATTTGCCTCCAGGTGTAACGTTAACCTACATCTATTGAGGATAAAATCTTTCACCTACAAATTGACAATAACACATTTGCTGTATAATCAGACATCTAGTTGCCTCAACAATTGCAACTCCAGTTGTAATTGGGGTTGCAATTTCAAATTCTGTGTCATGACTAAGGAATAACGAAGTCTCTGGTGCACTCTAAAATTAAGAAAGAAAACGGAGCACTCAGGCGTCCTGAAGCGAGAGAAAACGGACTCCTATGATGGGGGACACAAGCACTCACACTGACAGACTTGACACTCACTTCTTTCACAAGTTTTACCAACCATTAGTTGTGTACGTTATCTAGTGAATTTAGTCAATATTGCACAGTACAAGTACACTGCAATACAGTGGTCCCCCGGTTAACAATGGACCTAAGTGCAAACCTGTACTGTACATGTACTAAATGATTACGGTACTAAAATTGTAATGTCTATTGCAAATATAGATTGTTTATACAGGTATTCAAATAAATCACTATCTTACAAGAATCCCAGCAATGTAAGTTATATTCACCCAGGTCATTTGGGTGGCAAATTATGAGAAGAGCTTAGTCACTCTTAAGGAATGATAAATAAACACGCAGGCAGGCCTTCAGCGCCACCTGTCAAATCATATCGCCATGCGAGGGAGCGTTGGGGGGTTTTTGGCCTTAAGTTTTTCATATAATATCTTAGACTATAGGAGAATCTAATTTGCATTGCTGAAATCCTTGCAAAACAGAGATTAATTTGAATATAAATGTCATATATTTTGCTCGAGATAAAAATTGTAGTACATTAGTGTACATTTTTTAATATAAACTTTTTCAGCTGTATTTTTGGGTAGATTTACACAAATGTCTTCATTTATTTTCATCCATTTACATGCACACACCATACGAAAAGAAACGTAAAAGAAATAAATGACCTTAGTGCAAAGCTGGAGTGTACATGTACTAATTTGATTACGGTACTAAAATTGTTATGTCTAGTGCAAATTATAGCATGTTTATATTCAAATTAATCACTATCTTACAAGAATCCCAGCAATGTAAATTATATTCACCCAGGTCATTTTCCTGGCTTTTTAATAGAGAGAAGCTTAGTCACTTAAGAATTGATAAATAAACACACGTTAGACCTTGGGCCGGTGCCAACTGTCCAACGTATTACCTCACCTCCTGCTCCCCTCCCCCCACGCCCCCTCCCTCCCTCTCCCCCATCTGCCCAGCGTTGCTGGAATCCTTGTAAAACAGTGAATAATTTTAATATAAATGCCATGTATTTTGCACAAAAGATAAAAATTAATCACCTGTATCATATTACAGTAGTGATTTAAGAGTAAAAGTGTATATGTACGTATATAGTATTCCACATACACGTAAGTATAAATACAAAGTTTATGTGATGATCGGACAACGTCCATTTCGGTTAACGTCACGTTTCCAAGAACGTATCTAGGATGTTAACCGAGGGATCACTGTGTGTATATGTATATACAGGGTGTCCCATAAGTTTCCATACAACGTATCACCAACGCCATTACAAGCATAACTGCAGCTGTGCTTGAACATGTTCTTCAGCAGTGGAGGACACGCATTGAAGAGTGTTTTCAACAGAATGGTAGTCATGTAGAGCATATTATATAAATAAAAATGGATTTTCATATAAAATTTATTTTTCCTATGTATGGGCATTCATGGGACACACACACACACACACACACACACACACACACACTTCGACTTACGACCACCCGCACCTACGACCTGCCTCAGTCAGTACCAAATTTTTTTGAAATGACGCACGTATTTTCTAGACCAAAACGTTTCCATCCCGTACGAGAGCATCACGTGGGCTGGGTCGCCTCGTGGCTACAGCACCCACGACGTAGAGCGCTTAGTTGGTGTTTGACTGTCGTTGTTGTCGATTGTGATCTCGCCGTGTACTGACAATATTTTCATTTCTAATTCACTTTGGAATGACTGGCAAGCTTAGAAGTGAGAGTGCTGGTGGTGCTCAGAAGAAAAGGAGAGTCAAATACTTTTGAGACAAAAATTTAGATAATAATGCATTATGAAAATGGAAAAACGGTAGAAACCATTTCACGCGACCTAGGCTTCTCGCACTCGACCATATCGACAATTTTGAAGGACAATGAACATATTCGTGAGGTAGTGAAAGGATCAGCACCTATAAAGGAAACAATAATAAAAAATAAAAAAAGACAAGGTCCTATTCATGAGATGGAAAAATTACAAAAGCATGTACCCTTAAGCCTTCTAACCCTACAAGCTACAACAAGAAGCCTTTTTGAAAGCCTGAAGGAGCAGGCAGGAGATGAGTCCGACCAAACCTTCACAGCAAGTCATGGTTGGTTCCAAAGGTTTAAGAACCGCTACAGTTTGCATAGTGAGTGGAGAGGCAGCAACTGCTGATGTGGGTGCTGCCGAAGCTTTTAAGGAGGAGCTAGATCATGTCATGGTGGAGGGAAATTATTTGCATGAGCAAATATTTAATGTGGATGAAACTGGCTTATCATGGAAGCGCATGCCAGAACGGACATACATCCACAAAGAGCTGAAAACAATGCCAAGATTCAAGGCATTCAAGACCGAATCACACTTCTGTTGGGTGGGGATTGTAGCTGGTTTCAAGATAAAGCCCTTCATGATATATCATTCAGAGAACCCCAGGGGCTTTTAAACATGTCACCAAGTACACACTGCCAGTGTTTTATCACAGCAACAAGAAAGCAAGGATGACCATAGTGCTGTTTGAGGATTGGTTCCTGACTTGTTTCATTCCACAAGCCAAGGAGTATCGTCTGCAACAAGGGATTGCATTCAAGATTTTGTTAATTTGGGATAATGCTCCGGGACACCCTATACTGCCCGATATCCCACCACACCTGTACGACCTGCATGTTAAGGTAGTCTACATTCCACCTAACACTATCTCTATCATTCAACCCATGGATCAAGGTGCTATTGCTGCTTTTAAAGTGAATTATTTATGTACGACCTTTGCTCAGGCTGTTGCTGCTACTGAAGGTGAGAAAATGCTCAGAGAGTTTTGGAAGGACTACAACATTTTGAAATGTATAAAGAACAGAGGCAGCATGGGATGAGGTTACAGATCAGTGCATGAATGGAATATGGAAGAAAGTCCTGAAAAGATATGTGAACAGTTTCAGAGGATTTAATGAAGATGAAAAAATTTCTGCGATTAGTAACAAGATAGTGGAGTTGGGTAAACAGCTGGAGTTACAAATTGATAATGAAGATATTTAGCAGTTGGTTAAAAGTGTAGCAGAAGAGCTAAGTAACGAGGATCTTATTGAACTGGATGCACAGAAAATTGCAGAGGAAGAGTCAAAATGTAGAAGAACCTGCACCCCCCAAAAAATTTTCAGTGAAACAAATGGAAGAGGCATTTGCTACAATTAATAAAGGGGATGCAAATGTTTGACGGAATGGATAAAAACGTTGAGCGTTTTGCAAAAGTTGACAGAATGATCCAAGATGCACTTGCTTGCTACAGGAAGATTTACAATGAAAAGAAAAAGCAAACTGTGCAGTCTAAATTGGACATCTATTTTAAGAAGTCCCCCATTGCTGTCTCCTCACGCCCCACCAGTGCTGCCTCTTCACTCCCTAAAGATGTTCCAATACCTTCAACAAGCAAGTTTCCCCTATATGTTAACCTGTCTGAAGAAAGCGACATTGATGACCCACCCAGTCCCGTCTCCTCCTCTGCTTCATCCAGTTAATATAGTCTCCATGTATAATTAAAAAATTATGGGGGCCCCATGAGCATTCAGCTGACTACATTAAAGGAAAGTGCACAGTAACACTATTCATTCTTCATTATTGATTACTTTTACTGTACAGTACAGTATAGTCTCGATTTACGCGGATTTCGTTTATGCGTTTGGTCATTTACGCGGCACCTTGCCAGACCGACAATTTTTATTTATGCGGTATTTTCCATCATTTACGCGGGAAGCGGCACGGGCAGGGTGCGCACAAGGTCCCCCAGTCAACAAAACAGTGATAGTGAGAATATGGACTTTGGGGGGGTTTGACAAAGAGGCCCTGCAAGCCTCTGTGGTGGATAGTGATACAGGTGATACAAATGATACAGGTGAGGGCCAATAATCTGCCCTCTGCCTCAGAACCAACCCCCCATCCCCATGTACCCAGCCATTTCTTCTACTAACATAAGTGTTAAAAAACCTAATATTATTGATATTTCTCTTAAATATTAATTATGTGTGCATACCATCATAAAATTAAGATGTTATTTTTACTACAATGTAGTACTTATTGTGTCTGGTGAAGTATAATTTGTTTATTTTCTTGAGATATTTGTTTTCAGCTCATAAAATTCATATAAATTACCTGGCCAGAATATAATTTACATTGCTGGAATTCTTATAAGATAGTGATTAATTTTAATATTAACAAGCAAGATGTTACCTCCAGTGAAAACAGAGAGAGACTAACTCCTGTTTGCTGTGTTAAGAGGCCGGATGCCGTGCATTAAACTAGTCACTTTACCTTCAATTATGTTCAATAATTGTTAAAATGACTAAAAAATTGAATATTAAACTTTTAAAATTATTGAATAGTATAAACTTCTTGATATTATCAAAAATAGTAAGGAATTTAAGCCCTAGAACCGATTAATGTATTGGCGGACTGATACTAAAGCTGGTTGCCCGGTCAGTGCAAGCGAAAACATGTTGAGGTAGATTCGTAAGAACTTCGTTAACCGAATTTTTTTTCGTTAACCGAATTGAAGATCCTGATGGAAGGCAGTTCGTTAATCGAAATTACGTTAACCGAGGTGTTCGTTAAACGAGGGGTCACTGTACTGTACTGTAGTAAGGAGAGTTTTCTGTACAGTATTCAAATTGTGTGTGTCTAAAACCATCCATTTTTTTCTGTGCCGTATCTCTATAATCTAATTTTGTAGACTATTATTTGGGCAATTAAAATACAACTCACCTCAGTGTTGATTTCTGGGAGCGAAATCGCTCTTGCTGGTGTTGGAAGACCCCGAGTCTGTGTGACTTTGGAGTATCATTGATGTCACTGGATGTACCTGGGCTGGCTGGGATGAAATCTGGAGAACTGTCGGCACTGGCGCTGCTCATTATGGTATTCGAAACACTGGAACGTGTATCCGACATTCTTCCTACAAATATCAAGAAATAACTGTACAGTACTGTATATAGACAGCTGCATGTTAACAGTGCAATTATTATCCACTCTGTATCTATGTTTTTCTGGCTTAATAAACTGTTTCAATTCAAGTACATGTTTATATTAGAATACAAACCAATATCTTAAATTCAATGTCCATAGGACCTAAACCATTCTGTTGGCCAAAATTTTCTGCCATTAGCTAGTTCCAGTAGTGTAATGATTGTCTATCAGGCCAAAGCATACAGCCCAGAGAAGAACAACACATATTACAGCAATTAGATGAGCAGTTGTACACCCACTCAAGTCGACCCACCCTACAGTAATTAAAGGAGGTCAAGACCTGACCCAACCAAGATCACAAAGTTCCCGCCACCGTGTGATGAGAGACCAGGCGACATGACCTTGTTTATAAAAAACTGCCTCCAACCAGTAATCTGACACCTGGCCAGACACCCAGGGTGGTAGTAATTGGGGAATATTACCAACCGGCATACCACGATAAGTGACACGACCCTGTGACCCACCAAGCATCGCGCACCTGATCAAACACCTGTCTAGACACACTCCAGATAAGTGATAATTAAGAGACAACACCTGCCGGCCTGAGACCTCCAATAAAAGAGGCCAACAACTCCTTACCAGTGGTTAGACAGGGAGAGACATACCACGATAAGCACACCACATCCTGTGACCCCGAACCACCGTACATCTGAGAAAACACACCTGTCCAGACTCGCCCAGATTAGTGATAAATAGGAGACGAGATCTGTCGGCCTGAGACCTCCAATAAATGGGGCCTACAACTCCTTCCAGGGGTTAGACAGGGAGAAACAGAACCCAGAGCCAGATGGAGTCACACTCAGTCACAAGTCGAGGTCAGGAGGGGGACTTCCTAGCACCAAGTCCCCAGCTTGCAGAGTCTCCCACAGGAGTACAGCGCCCGCCGAGACCACTCTCTCCATGAGTACCTGACCCTGCAGTCAAGAGTCCCCAGCTGCTGGGCCTTCCTCAGGTCACATGCGAGTCATTGTCAGAGCAATCCATAGGGTGAGTCACTGTCTAGTAATGTCATTATATTGATCTATTAGTGCCCATGCCATTCGTTTAACTAATAAATAATTGTACTTGGAATTGTTGTCTAGAAGACTTCCCCTAAGACTACACTATATATATTAACGGTCAAATAACTAATCAGCCACGCTACCAACTTTCTTCACTTTACAATCCTATTACTATAAATTCCTCCAACCTTCTTAATGAGAATCTTTGCCTCATTACAGCAGGTATGGTTAGGTTTTCAAAAAAAAAAAATTAATACAATACTCTGTATAATTAAACTAAAAAAAATAATTGTATATATTATAGGTATATTCTATGAGAACCACTTTCATTGGTACAATAGCCTGCACTTATTCCCATTTCAGTGGCTGGCGGGTTTTGCGAGACTTCATAGTACAGTCGGCCCTTAACATACGCGGGTTTAGCAAACACGGATTTGCAAATACGCAGATTGCCCCGCCGGAGGAATATTCTGCACATTGAAGTAATTGAAGTACATTCAAATCGCGCGCCATTCAACTCACGCGCGGCACATAACACGGGACACCGCCCGCTCCCGCAACCTCACACACACGCATAGCTCTCCCTCACTCAGTCAGTCTCGCTGTAACCACACTTGTGTTGGCATCAGCATTATAGTTGCAAAAATATTACATTTCCGTGACTGTATTATATCAAGCACAGTATGAATAGAATATCACTAATATAAGAGTATTTTAACCGAAAACTATTTAAAAAACGAGTAACATCTCTTGAACATTGGAAGGTTAGGTAAAGTCTTTTGTTTTCGTCATGTATTTTATCCTATTTTACATTGAAATACATCACGTTTCAGCAAAACTACTATTTATTTCTGAGAATATATTCATTCAGGCACAGTTTAGGTAAAATATACATGTGCTGTAACATTTTTTTTAATTGAAAACGATTCGAAAAACACGTACCCTCTAGCCCTGTTCAAGGAGAAGACTGGGAGGAGCTGTTTGGTGCTTAAGACGATGACAAGGAAAATGATTTTGATGGATTTTAATGAAAATATTCAGAAAGACCCTGGCACTGTCAAGGAAAGTGGCTGCTGAAGGCTTCCAGGACATGGCAGAGGACGAGATTAGGGAGCTAATTGAAGAGCACGACACTGAGCTGACCGAGGAGGATCTACAGGAGTTAGTAGACTCAGGCAAGGAAGAGGAAGAGGAAGCGAAAGGGAAAGAGGATGAGGAAGAGGAAGAGCACCAAGAAATAACTTTGGAGAAGTTGGGGGAGATGACCAGGAATATTGAGGCACTGAAAAACCTGGCCTATAGTATGGACCCCTCCATGGTGCGTGCCCTGAAATTCATGCGAGGGATGGATGAAGTTTTTGCTCCATACAAAAACATCATGGAAGAAATGAAAAGAAAGAGACGACAACTCCCCATTACCATGTTCTTTGATCACCGAAGGAGAGATTTAACACCATCAATCACTGGCGGCAGTGAGGAAGCAGCTGAATCCACCGTCGCCCCCACTTCACCACCCGTTATGGAACTGCGTGACGATGAGCCCGATGACCCCCGCCCTGTCGCCGAGGATAGGTACGGTACAGTAAAGTGAAATTTTTATCTCTTATTTTTAATAGCTTTTCTTGCCATGTTTATTGTTTGTAAAAATGCACAGCACAGTACAGTTCAGTACTGTACATAGAAGTGGAGGTGCAGTTATTCACAAAACATTTGTGTTTGTTGTCGGCAGTAGTGACGGTGAGGAGGTGGAGGAGGCAGAGGAGGAAGCGGAGGGAGCGAGTTGGGAGGAGTGGTGACCTTGGACGCGGGAGGAGGGACGAGTGGAGATGCCAGCCAGTACATTACGGGTTTATTAATTGTTTTTACAGTGGTCCCTCGGTTAACGCGCACAATTCGTTCCAGCAGGTTGCTCGTTAACCGAAACCATTGTTTCAATGGGTTTTTGGGTAATTAGTTCCAGCTCACCGAAAATTGCCTAAATTCAACAAAAAAGGTAGAAAAGTACACTTACTTTGAGGTGTGTATGTAGAAGGCTCCTGGATGATGATGATGATGATGATGATGATGATGATGATGATGATGATGATGATGATGGGAATTAAAATGGGAGTGGAGAAGGGAGAAGAGAAGGCATTGGGGTGGAAGAGAAGTCACCCCATGGCACCATTTCACCCATAAAATTTTAATTCTCTTGGTGTGATTCAAGATTATTTTCTTTAAATCAACACTGCACTACATTATATATTGTCAATATGTAAAATAAATATCAAAATGACCAATAATTTGCTTGGAAACACAGAAAAAAAGCATTTAGTTGAAGAGAGTCTCAAGCAAGATGTTACCTCCACTGAAAACAGAGAGAGACTAACGCCTGTCTGGTGTGTTAACAGCCTGGATGGCACGCCAGAAACTAGTTTCTTTACCTTCAATTATGTTCAATAATTGTTAAAATGACTAAAAAAGTTAATATTAAACTTTTAAAATTATTGAATAGTATAAACTTCTTGATATTTACTAAAATAGTAAGGAATTTAAGCCCTAAAACCGATTACTGTATTGGCGGACTAATACAACAGCTGGTGGACCACCAAATGCAAGCGAAAACATGTTGAAGTCGGCCCGTAAAAAACTCATTAATCGAGGGATTGCTCGTTAACCGAAGTTAAGAATCTTATGGAAGGTAAATTGTTAACCGAAATCTCGTTAACCGAGGCGCTCGTTAACCGAGGGACCACTGTATAGCTATTTTTGCATTTAAATATTAAATACTGTACATTACGTTTCAACAAAACTACCATTTATTTCTGAGAACATGGAAATGTAATATTTTTGCTTAAATGATGTACGTATTAGTGGAAAGTGGGATAAAATTGTGACGAAAGCAATGGCTTTCTCTTTCTTTCGTTCAAAAGATGTTACCGTAATCGCTTTTCGAATGGTTTTCAGTTGTGGGATTATAAGGCTAATGATAGGATAGAATATTATTGTAATACAGTACGAGTACAACAGTTTTTTAACTGAAAACCATTCGAAAAGTGATTACGGTAAAATCTTTTGAATAACGAAAGAAAGCGAAAGTCATTGTTTTCTTCATGATTTTTTCCCACTTTCCACTGTAATATGTACGTCATTCCAGCAAAAATATTATATTTCCATATTTATTTCTGAGAATACGTATATTCATTCAGTCACAGTTAAGGTAAAATATACTTGTGATGTAATATTTTAATGAAAATACGGTATCGTAGTTTTCGTTTGTTTCAAATTTAATTAACAAAGATTGATGTTTCAAATGTAATGAACAAAAATTTATGTCCAGTATCTATAAATAAACTTTAATAAATGAATACTTTATGTTTTACATCATCCTGTGCTACCATACCATGGATTTGGCTACTTTGGGCTTGCTATGATGACGCAAGAGATCTGCCCTGGCAACTGTACCGACACTCACAGCTGGTGGTGCGTTGGTGCATCATTTCCATTGTTTACTGGTAAATATTTTTCAACCTAATGAAACTATTACCCGTTTAGAGGTCAACCCCCAATTTTTTGCCAAATAATTTGGTCTTAAAAACTCGAACTACACACAGGTATATACGGTAAATAAGGACATTGGGGGTAAGGGGGGGGGCAGCAAAAATACGCGGATTTTTAACATCCACGGGTATCTCTGTTACGTAACCCCCGCGTATGTTAAGGGCCGACTGTATTGTATATTGAGGTGAATGGGCAGAACCAACCTCTTTATAGACATCCGATAACAGTGTTAAGAAAGACTTTTTTCCTCTACTTAAGAATGCCAATAATGTACTTTACGTATGGCTACAGATTACATTAAGATCACCGAATACAGTACTGTAGCCTATAGCAGGGTGTCTACTGGCCACACAAAACAAAATTCCCTGGGTTTTTCAGGTTTTCCTGG